GTGCAAAACATGCAAGGTCTTTGAAGGTCAGGTCCGACTGACAGGCACAGTGGTGCAGGCAGAGAGAAGTCTGCACAGATCACACCCAAAAGGCCCGAGTTTCCCAAAGATAATAGCAGCAATAGCTTCTTTTGAGACAGGCCATGAAGCAGATCAAAACCATCACCAGTCATTTTTCATGCTGAATTAGGCAGTGTTTTGTTTGGTATCACTACAATTTTAGTCAATATCCAAGAAATGGAGTTTCCTGATGGACACTAAAATTGTGCTGAAGTGCACCTCATAAATAGTTCTACTAAACTAGAATTTTAAATTTTATTTCTTAGTTTCATTAATTGCTTAATGAAATAGGCAGCACTGAAAAACTTATCACTATAGTTATTTCTGCTTTTCTAGCTTTACCAGGATTTAGTTCTGCTTCCAAAATTTGATAGGGAGAAATGTAAAATTCAATGTTCATAGGAGTTCCTGAGGAATGAAAAAAGAAAAATAATGTTTACTACAAAGGTCAGAGGAAATATGTGAAGTACCTTGAAACAATGGTGAAAAAACCCAACAGTGTAGATGGGCAGAGGGGATTCCTCATAAAAGTACATTTCTAATTACAATTTTTGTTCAAATCACAGGATTTTCTTAGCATGTAAGAGCTAAACTCTCTGGGTATAAACCATCAGATGTCTTTGAAATCTGATTAAATTAATTTCTCTTGCACAATAAATAGCCTGTTGTTCAGCCTTAAAAATACTAGCTGAAATTCTAGCTTTCAATGACTACTCAAAAATAAAAGGGAAAGTTGCACTACTTGCATAAGGGACACAAGCTGTACAACAGGAGAGTGGAAGCGTGTCTTAGAAGTACTTTTCTGAACTACAACACATTTATGGTTAAAGCTTGCTCCTGACAGTGCAGATGAGCCAAAAAACTCATCAACTGGCTGTATTTGCCTTTTAGGCAACCAGAGCATTCTCTCAGTTACTGCTGCTGTCATCTCATGGTTACTCCCAAACTGCAGTTTCTCACCTAACCTCAGAATATTGCTGGCTTTGCTTTTAGGCTGCTGCAAAGTCAATGCTGCAGCAGCAGATAAACCACCTGGCCTCCCTGTATTTTCTCCTTCTGTATGTCTGTACATGATCTGAGAATACAGGCACAGTAAGTCCCTAGAGCAGGTTTAATTTCTAATAGTGGATCTTTCCTGTAAACAAAGATCAGCTCGGTAGGGTTTTTTTAATTACAATCCTTGGAATTTGGAAAGGGGAAAAGCAAAGAGGGAGAAAAAGAAAAAAAT